AGTGGAGCTGCTTCACCAAGTCGATCAGAGTGCTCGGTGCTCGGTTCGGAGGTTGCCTTTGAGGAGGGTAATATGGTGTTGTCGCTTCTTGAGATGGGGTTTTCGTTGCTGCAGAGCACGAACTTCGTCATCAAGGGAGCGGTATAAAGTTTTGATTACTATCTTGGTAAGTATGGTCTCGACGGCGCGAATCTGTTCACGCCCCAAAACTGTTGCGTCTGTGACAGATTGACTCAATTCAGCTCTCGATCCTGTCGCCGGTTGCCTCTGTCCTCTTACTCTAGTCGCCTCCTCACCTTGTCTAGATATATCACCGTCAGCCCACCTATCCCTCAGCCCACTTTCTCGCCCATCCCTCTCACTCTCCGCCACCTCATGCCTTCAAGGTATATATCTTGCGCTCAGCTCGCTCAGTTCCCTCTTTACTCCACTGTCTACCGCTGACTCGGCTTACCAGCTTCTTCGCACTCGGTACTCTCTCGACGCATTTTGTTTTCCTATCCTCGCAAACGGCCCGTTGGGTTACAAGTGTCTTTTCGTTGAGCTTCTGGTGCTACCGGGACTTGAGGAAGGCGGGTATGGTGGCAAGGACGAGGTAGTGGGGGCGTCTTCGAGGGCGGACTGCAATACCTCAATGTCTTCTTGCTGGGCTCGGTTCGCGACAAAGCCGGACGGTCTGACCGGTATCCATCAATTCCTAAGAGCTACCGTCGCAGCGTTGGTGGTAACGGTGTCACTAGAAAGACGGCGTGAGGGCCCGTAGTGACATTTAGAGAAATAATCGTCGTCATCATGCCGTGAGTGTGCACGGTGAGCCTTGCCTAGCGCTGCTCACTTCACATTGCATAACACTAATCTCGAGCGGGTGCTACCAAGCCAGCGTATGCCCAGACAGCGGCAACGACACGGTTTGGACGACCTTGTCTACGCGCGGGCTTCCCATGTCCCTGAAGTACACGCAAGTGATGTAATATTCCACATTTCTTTGGAATAATGTCGAAGGTTGATCACGCGCAATACACGCCTTCCGTCATCTAGTTGACCACGGCCTATTGAACTGAGGCTATTGAAGTGACAAACAACCCGTGTTTACGAGGCCGTAAAACACGCTGGCGGAGCTACCACACTCACATTAGCAGATATCCAGAGGTGTCTTTGCTCGCTGGCCCACCTCTACGCCACGGGCCTCTCCTCGGAAGCTGCCCTTGCGATAGGGGCGGTTCAGCTCTCTAGTGCTCGCTACCCTGAGTCCTAGTTAATGATGCACTCGATTCTAACGCCTACCGCAATCCAGGTTAGTTGAAGCGGATCCCTAGCCAGATGAATTAGGGTCGCGGCTTGCAAGACAGTGCTCGCGAAACGGCGTCGCACGTCCAGTGGGCGACAGCCAGCGACAAGAAACAAGGCGGGAAGCAACTGCTCAGCGATTCCCTATTGGGGCATCTCGGGCGCTGAGGCCACCGGCAGGAAGCGATGCAGTGGCCGCGCAGTCGCAAGCATAATCACCATCGCCGGCACCAAGCAGGCAGGCGCATATAGCACGCCGCCGAAGAAGGCTCGGCGAGCCCCCGATACGTGCTGTTGGGGATCCTCATTCGCTGCACGGGACCACGAACGACCGCGCCCAAGATGCACGCCGCAGGGTTCGGATTTGAACGCGATATTAAATTACGATACCGTCTCCACGAATAGTAAATCGCTTCTTTGAATCTTTTAAAGGTCGCTGTTGTGCTGCTTTGATTGAATCAAGAAGGTCCCCCGCTATCACCTAGATCCTGCATCTACAGTGTCCTCCAGCGGGACTGGGAAGACCGCGGCCCCCGCAGTGGGGAGGCTGAGCGAGATGGAGAAGCTACATACAGCCGTACTAGAAGTCGGAGCCGTGGCCGTCTCACCAGCTGCTGTAGCAAGACGAGTGATGGCAAATCTACGCTATGGAGGGGTGGCTTGGAAAGGTGTGCTCGAAGCGTAGTAGGGAGGAGTGGTCTAGGGGTTTGGCATCAGGTATAAGGCTGGCGGGGGTATTCGTGCACATGTGAGCAGAGGGCCAGAGCCGTGAGGACAAATCATATCCCATATGACGTGCTGTGTCTAGCCGCAGAGTTGTATGACGAGGACACGGTAAGATTTATTTTCGAGGAGGACCGGCAATTGCTCTCGTTCATCATGTAACACACCTCCACGCTTGGAGCAACTTCACTGCCCACGAAAAGCAACCGATCGCCGCGAACAAGCCTTTGCTAAGGGAAACTTCTCCTTCCACACCTCCGTTGACCGCCGTCCAACCATCGCATGCGCGAGGAAGCCTTTGAGAACTCCTGCTGGTTTGCTTCGCTCTGCTACGATTTCCAAGAGCAGCAACAGCAATCCGGACAATTACATTGCGAGCCTCAACACCTGGAACTAGTCGCTAGAGCTTGCCGGGGATGTTGCATATCTAAGACCGCTTGTGCCAAGATCTAGGTGCATCACGAGCTCAGTCGAGAACATGGAGGGAGGCCGGCCTGCCAGAGCCTGATCAAAGCCTTGGAACGCCGAGGAGAGATTCCTGGGCTAGGAGCCACCGATTGGACCTCGGGGACGAACCCGCGGCCTTGATCTTCGGGCCGACGTCCCTGGCCGTGATCAACTAATCCTGGCTGTTGGCTCCATTGGAAGAAGAAAGCAATCAAGTTATTCCGCCCTGGAAGCTGTGGAGGCGAGGACTAGCCTGGGGTTCTCTGCCAAATGCGACTTGTCCCTCGGCCAAGCTCTGCGAACACCCCTATCAGGCCGGACACCCAGGGAGAAAGTACTTTCCCAATCACGTTAGAGCCAAGATGCGGCTGTGCTACAACGGTTTTCCACCACTGCGATCGACAGTATTGAAATTTGCCGTTCTTGGAAACCCCGACGGTATGGGCACTGCCGTGCAACAGCTGTTTTTGCACCACTGCAATCGATAGTTTTAATATTTGCCGTTCTAGGAAATCTCAATGGCATGGGTACTACGCTGCCGTATCACAGCGATTGACGGGTTTGGGGTCTGCCAATCTTAGGAACCCCAACAGTATGGGGACTGCCGTGCAACAGCTGTTTTTGCACCACTGCAATCGACAGTTTTGATATTTGCCGTTCTAGGAAACCTCAATGGCATGGGTACTACGCTGCCGTGTATCACAGCGATTGACGGGTTTGGGATCTGCCAATCTTAGGAACCCCAACAGTATGGGGACTGCCGTGCAACAGCTGTTTTTGCACCACTGCAATCGACAGCTTTGACATTTGCCGTTCTGGGCAACCTCCATGGCATGGATACTGCACTGCTGTGCGACAACTGTTTTCCACCACTGGGATCGACGGCTTTGAATTCTGCCGTTTCTGGAAATTTGGATCGACCCTAGGCCGCCATGGGTCCCGCGCGTAACAATTGTTCTGCCTCACAGTGATTGACGGTTTCGACACTTGGCGTTTTAAGCAACATGGATCGACCCAGGCTGGCACGCGTACTGCAGCGCTGCAGCTGCGAGCGGTGCGGGAAAGAGCTGGAGACAGGGAGGCGGCGCGAGTTGTTGTACGGGCTCTGGGGCGGGCGGCTGCGCGTGTTGGTCGAGCTTTTCCTGCAGCTTCTCATTTGCGCGGCGGATACAGACCTGCTCGAGGGAATTTTCCGCAACAACGGCCGCCCCGAGTCGATGCTCGTGCGAAGTGAGCGACAGCAGCGGGGCTCAGCTGTCACGGGGCGAGCTCCACGTCGTTGACGGTGGAGGTATGCGCCCTGTACGAGGCGAATGCCGTGCGTATCGAAGCTTGAGCACTCTTTGTCCAAGCCGCCGCGCGGCAAAGCACCATCGCTGTGATGGACCCAAGGCCTGAAGTCGGCGGTGGTAGCAAGAGCAGATCGCGTGGATTCTGGCCATGGAGCTCCTCGTTCGCAGGTGAGTGCCGGGCTCCGCCGAGGTTCCGCCGACCGGCTGGTCCTCGGTTCGCGCAGACGTGGCCCGCTTCACAGCAACAGCCGCCGGAGCGCACTTCGCTGGCTAGCCGGCCAGACGTGTATGACTAGGTACGCATCTCGTGTAGACGAGGAATCAGGTATACCACGTGCTAGTCCTCGCCTGGGATGCCGTACGCCGCGCTCCTCGGCGCGAAACCCAGACCGCTGCCATCCCACCGTCTCGTTCTGCGCCACCGAGCCCACCATGCCCAACAGCACCAAAAGCAACCTGCACGACATCGACAGCCCGTTGGCGCAGCCTCGCGGGCGCGCGTGATCGCATACCTCGTCGCCTGCTCCTTCCCGACCCCGCACCCATGGCTGGCAGCAAGGAAGCGAGCCCGCGGTGGCAATCCCACGCGCACCCACCATCTGCCTTGCAATGCACGACGGCAGTACGAGCCATGTTGGTCCGGCGGGGCGTGTCGATAAATTAGGGTAGGCAGTTTTGCTCTACAGCCACAACGAGGAATCAGCACCAAAGCTTGTCAGGCTCGTGCTTGAGGCGGTGAGGTGCCCAAACGGTTGAGCCGATGCAGCGCACAGCGAGCAGTAGTGGGAGAGGGAGGGCAACAGTCGTGACGATTGCATCCGCAACGGATGGGAAGTGCGCATCGTGGGAAATGCGCGGGCAGCGGACGTGAAGCAAGCTGAGGAGGGATGCTGTCTGCAGCGCTGGAGCGCCCCTCGGATGGAGCTCGGTCCGTATACCTGCAAGCGAAGCCTCGGGCAGGGTTGGACGAGAGGCGAGCCTGGTTGGGATGGAGTACGAAAGGATGGCGGAACCCAAACACTTGGCATGCAATGACACTGTCTAGCCTGGGATTAGGCCCTGTGCATTCTACTATGGATTCTAGATGCCTGAATCTCCTCATCAACAATTCCGTGCAGCACCCTGCGTTGCTTGTTGAGCGCTACAAGTCCCCCGCCACGCCAGCCTAGCCCATCGCCCTACAACGCCAAGGCTGCGAGCCAGACATCCTACCTGCGGAACCCTTCCTGACCCCTCCGCCCCTCCACCCATCTATTCTAGAGCGATGGTCTCCCTCTCCCTCCCCCTCTCCCTCCTGTTGGCCCTTGCCTGCTCCTGCAGCTCATACCGCTCCCTGAGTACCTGCACCTCGTGCTTCGACATTGGAAACGTCTGGTAATCAAGAACCCACTGAGCAGGACACGTTAGCGGCATTCGTCGTCCATTCCAGGGAACCGAGTCACTCACCGTGCTGCAGCCTATCTCTGGGCACCGCGGCCACGGATACGCCAGCTTCCTCCAAGACATGTCCATGGTGGTCCCTTCCGATTCGTCCCCTGGCTCGGTTAGTGGTGTTTTCGAAACACGTGATAGTAGTCCCTTGCGTCTGCGACGGCGACGGCGGCGCTGGGGTGTGCACATACACTTCTTGTACTGATCACGGTGCACTTGGCAATAGTCGTGCATAGCCTCTCCGTCGACCACGTGGCCGCATGCGAGCTGGCGCGGGTGTTCAGGAAATGTCCCCGTTATCGGGCATCTGGCGTTGGGTACGAATGTCACCGGCGTGTCAGCCTCGACATCGATGACCTCCTGGGAGCTGCACACTGCCCTGGTCACGGCATTGGAGTCGTTGCTGGTGCGTCTGAGCACAGTGTTGGTGCCACCTGTTACCCCAATCGTGGCACGGGCCGGGTATGGTTCTTCGGTGACCACCTTGGCTGCGCAGATAGCGGCAACGTCACGTGCGGCGCTGCCAGCGGAACTGGCTTCGGGCTGACTTGCTTGCTCGTAGACTCCCGATCCATCATCTTGGCGATCTCTGCTGGATTTAACAACTGCGACGCCCCTCTGACCAGGGACACGAACGACGGTGTCCTTGGTTCCGCGTAAGCGCTTGGGGCCGGACGCAGCCGTATCTGTTTCTGCATCATCCTTCCTGTGCTTCTTGGTCTTCCGGCGACTGCGCAAGCGCTTGCTGCTGGTGCACCATTTGTTGCAAATGTTGCACTTGTGGTGGTCGATTCGCCGCGCTTTCGCATGCCCCGTGCTGGGTCTAGTCCTGTTGGGCAAGCCGCGGACTGTTCTCTCTACAGGATGACGCCAGTGGCCCAGTCTCCTGGCTGGGGGTGGCGGGGGAGACGGAGTAGAAATGGAAGGAGGCGCGCGGGGACTACGGACAGCGCGAATACCTTCGTTTAGAGACATGCCGGCCTGCAGCGTGCGGTTGACGGCATGCCGGGCGAGCGAAGGGGCGTCAGTCTCGACGTCAATCGTTATCGGGTTCGCCTGACTGTCGCCACTACGGGAGGGCATTTGGGGGGATTCTTCCCGGAAGGAGAGATACTGGCCCACGGTCCTGACATGGGGCATGGAGTGTACGAGACCCTCCAACCCCACGTTTGTGGTGGTTTCGTCTGCCAATTCCACGTCCGAAGTGATTTCGGTTTGAGTGTAGCCGGATGGAGAGGGGTGAAGTGGGGTACTGTAATGGTGGCTGTACTCCAGTGGTACCGGGGACGAACCCGCGGCGTACGTCGAGCGGGCATAGGGGGAGTCCACATTCACGTCGAGGGTACTCCAATGCGGCGGAGAGGTCCTTGGGGGCGTGGTGCTAGCCTCCGTTGACCGGCCGTATCTTGCCATCCTGGCCGAACGTTTTGCGCGCGGTGTTGTTTTCCTAAGCCACTGTCAGCGACGCTTCTCCTTTGCTGCTACGACCTGAGCTGTATGTAACCTGGTACGGGGGGTGCGCGAGGGTGGCATCGTGCTTGTCAACGGCTATGGTTGTGTAGGATGGGGAAAACATTGGTTGGGCAAATAGAAAGGCGGGACACGGTAGCGTGGCAGGAGGGGCGTACAATCAGTTTGCTGCTCCAGCATGCACGTCGGCGCTTGTGCGTCGAGCGAACAACATCCAGCGGGAACACCCGTCTAAGCTCCGAAACAAGATCCACTGGCAACTGTAGATAGCACAAGCATGGACAGTGATGGACCATTAATTTGCCTATCAAGCAATCAGCCCAAGCAAAAGTTGGCTGGCAGCTCGGGAGGCAAAGTACCCCGCAAGTGCGCAATCATGGTAACACCAGTTCCAGTCCAGCCACAACCCCCGTTTCACACTGAGAACTCGCGTTCTATAACGCCTTGATGTTTTCCGAAGGAACGTTTTCCAGGTCCGGCTGTGGTGTCGTGCGTGTGCTCACGGCGCGTTCAATGCAGAGCAGAGGCAAGACCGCTTCGGATGGACCGCTAGCGGCGCGGGAAGAGGCCGGCGCATTGCGTTGGAACTGTGCGCAACGTCGAACAATAGCAATTTGGCGATGACGCTTGTTGATGAGGCTGAACAAAGGCAATGTTGGTTCGCGAACTGTGCTAGCGTTTAGCCGTGCATAGCGAGATCTCGAAGACGCAAAGTTCCGGTAATATTGCAGACGGCGGCCCTAGAGGCATTGTCATTGTCGGCTCCAATGCAAACGAATGCATACGATGCACCGCTTTGGGGTCCTGGTCTGGGTCAAACGTGGCGTGCTGTTTGCGCGTGCGGCTCCTTCTCCGTGGTCTCTTTGTGTGCCTGATCTGCGGTTCCCTCCGTGTGCCTCCGTCGCCGCACATCCCGTGCGCACCTCAGCTCCAGGCGTTGCACAGGTTGACGTGCATCGTGAACATCTGCTGCTCGAGCACCTCGCTGGTATCGACGTCGGCCTTTTCGATGGGGTGGGAGTACGGGCTCGAGGTCGGCATCGGCTCCTGGTTTCGGGGTTCTCGTCCCGCAACGGGTCGGTCAGGTGCCTTCCAATGGCACGCATGTTCTGCCTTGTCCTTTCGCAGCGTTTGTGGGGGCGAGCCGAGTCGATTTCTGCGGAGGCGCAGCCGCGTTCGTGCAGGCCGTGGCACCCTCGCGAGGAGCCACAATTCCACGCATCGCCTTGTCTAGAGAGAAGATGGGCCTTGGAGGGGATCTTTTGACATGGGTGATTGAGCGCAAGCGCGGGGCGCGCCAGTTCGCCGATAAGGCTCGCGCAGGGGCGGAGCTGTGCCGAGCCATTTGCAAGATGTCCTGTTCCATTTCAAACGGGGTCCAACCATCGTGTCACAGTTTGCACGCCGAGGAGGGCATGGATGCCACCCGTTGAACTTTCCTGCAACGTCATAGACACGCCCCCCGAACCACCTTTTGTGAGCATGGCCTCCTGTATCCCCAGAACAACCCGTTCACACCACCCAATCTAGTCTTCGCTCCTACAAGTGTCTTTCTATCTGCAGTGCATAAAGCATTGCTGGTATAGGCGCCGTAATTTGGTTGCAGGTCGTGTGGGCTGGGCTGACCCCGTCTCCGATGAAGGGTAAGGGTGTTCTGTGCAGGGGTGCAGGTGCTATTTTCTACGATTAGCAAGACCAGGCGGGAGGAGACAGCAATGTAACCACTGGTCGAGTGGGAGGCGGTGCTGCATCTTCTGAATCCTTGCAGTCGGTGCCCGTCTGTTCGTCTGTTCAATGGCAGCGCCCAATCCGACAACAATGGGACGCGTCGGCAGTCACATGGCCGGCATAACGGCAGAGGAACTGCACTAAATAAGCCTTGTGAACAATACTAAGAAGCTAGCGTACAGTGCAGTCCTTGGAATACATGCCAGACTCCTTCTGGAGATTGGTCATGACCGCGGTGGTTGAACTGGCGCCAAGCCAACACAGGGAACCGCCGCAGGATGTTGAGTGTATCTATTGCGTAGTTTAAATAAAATCATCATAAACTATCTCAGAGTTCGCTTACCAGAGTCGCATGCTCCTCCACTTCGGCGAATATTACTAGCCACACACGCCCCCTGTTTTCAGAGAGGGAACATACACACCAGAAATGTCTGCTACCAAAGTTCAACTTGGATGAATAAAAGGGACGTTTGTCAGCGCCGTTTGCAGTAATGCCATACTGTTGGACGAAGCTGCAAACAGCAACACCCATTCAGAACCGCTGAGCTTGGACGACTCCAGACAAGTAAGGCAAGATGTGAATTGTTGTTGAGTATCCGCTTGGACCGGCCTTGAAGGTTGTCAATAAGCTTCATCTCGCGACCGGGAGGGAAGGTGGGTTAGTAGGGAGGGTATCTCCGTCGCACGCAATCGTATCAATGGCAGACATGGACATTAGAAATTTTCGCGATCACGTCCACTGATGGCTATCTGGGACGGGCCAGTAACACAGACATGCTGTAAGCGGACGGGGCTCAACCGAGCTCAGTGGGACGAATCGTGTTTCTGTGGCCATCTCCACGAATTACTTTCGGAGGGTCTTGTTGACGTGTCAATGGGGAAGCACATTGCCTGCGGCATGTCCCACAACGTTTTTAGAAAGGGGAACAGAAGAAGACCGAGAAGGGATAAAGATTACAGCATGACCTGATTTTTGCCGGTTCAGCGCCTTTCGTCGAAGTTGAGCAGCATCCCATACACATATCCATGGCTTCTAGGCATTCCCTACGTAAGCTACTGGATCGAAAATACAGAGCTTACGTTCTAAAGGACAATGGTGTACCAGATCGCGAATATGGGTGTTACACACGCCAGGAGAAGAGACCAACGCCTACTACACCGGTGATGCGTTGCCTCCAATGTCTCCTCGACAAATGGTTCTCCAGGACTAACTTCCAGGCTCCATGTGACATTTCTAGCACGATTTCCGAAATCGCTGCGGGAGATTCCTCGCGTGCCTTGCTATGGGTGTGACGGAACTGAAGCTGTTTGAGGTTGATAGGGTGTACGCCAGCTGCTGAGGCGTACAAGCCTCTCGGGCCGATAAGCTTGAGCATAAGAACCATCTCATGTATTAGCTCTCGTAGGAATTAATACAGTCCTTCATAGCTTCCTGCTACCGTGACAATGGGTCTCCCGATGATAGCCATGGAGACATTACCAGGCCAACACCAATACCCTGGACGAAGGTTGGGACGCCGAACATAGTGTTTTGTCGACCAAATCATCCATTTACTCTGGACCGGTGAAGCCTCTGGATTGGCAGAGGGACTGAATGATGGCGTCGAATCCATTCTGCAGCATAAGAGCGGACTGCGCTACAGGTACGATGTAGAGGAAGACGTAAGAAGACACGAAAAAAAACCTTGGTCCCTGTTACTTAGGGGTGTTTTGAGCACTATTACTCTCGCGGTGGCAATTCGGGTCCGAAATGATAGGTTATCTGCAAGAGGAGAGTGGTGTTGTCCATGTCCCTTTGTCCCATTCAATTCGCATGTACATACAGCTTTGCCAACCGGCATGAGCGGCACCAAGCGGCACTTGGTGTGTCGGTAAAGCGTCGGCCATGAATAAATAAGTGTGGTCCAGTCCCGTTCTGCTCCATTTCCCCAGGATTGCGAAGCTCAACTCCTATAGCCACAGCCCGCAAGGCCACATCTGGGGCATTACACGAAATAGAGCGTGGAGATGGTAGAAATATCTGGATATCGCCAGGCAGGCCCTCTACACCTAACGCAAAAACTTGGTTAGATGATATACATGACTGAAGAAAATACTAAACATATTGCGCCACGTTAATAAGGCTGGCGCGAAGAGAATACCAGAATACAACAACCTCTACTCTTCTGGTCTGGGGGATCTCCTTCCTGAATGACGGCGCCAGGTAGGCCGTGCTAGATTGTTCAAAGAGGAAATAGAGGGTCTAACTAAGCGGTGGAAGCTCACATGTATCGGCTAGGATTTGCAACGCCGAGTTGGGATTTCATAGATTGGGTTAGAAGGATGAAACTTTAGTCCTTCTACTAATTGAGCGACCAGCCTGGTTGCAGTCAACCCTTTTGTGCGCTTATATTCACATGCTTAGAGGGGATGGACGCGGAACTCCACCAGCAGGATTGCATGATCAAGGAAAGTAATAGGTCGATCATGTGGACACGGATGGCGATGAGCGTCCTAAACATTAGTCTGAGCGGTTGCATCCCTGTCGCCTCAGCGCGTCTACTCCGCCGTGTTCTTGGCCTTTTTCAGGAAGCAGTTTTTCACTCGCCCGCTTTGTCTTGGCTTTGAACGGCGAGCTGATGCGGGACCTCCTAGCCGGTGCAGCGCATAGAGGGTACTGCGTCCTTTGAGTGCAAAATTGGGTTCAATTGGCGTCTCCGGAGATCGGTGCATAGCGGCAGGGGGCATTCAATCAAGTCACGAACATGGCAGGCGTTGGCATACTGTGTCAAAGAGCTTGTAACTCAGCTGGTGGGTCGGGTGAACGACAATGAGCAACTCGGCGTCGATGGATAGACACGGGGAGGCTACAGTTACATCGGACCCTGCGTTACTAGCCTAAGTGAGGTGGTCCCCAATGGACGCCGGTCCAGGCGTTACTGGCGCATGCCCTCCTTCGTTGTCCATGTGTCTTGGGGGCTGGTGTGGGTCATGCGCGAACGGTGGTAGGCAGTGCGTCGGTCTGTTCACGGTGGCGGATCTCGCTCCAGGCCTTCGATTCGAGAGTGCACCTCTTGATATTCGTGGCATCGTGGGTGGGAGATGGTGTGGCTGCTCCGGTGTGTGTTCGGGTCGGTGCCATGCATGAATGAGGTGCTTCTCTTCTGTAGATGCAGTCGAGTTAGGCTCGCGCCCACAAGGAATCTCTGCGGGAGATGCTCCGTGGCAAGTCGACTTGCTACCTTGACGAGATGCGGGACTACTTGTTTGATGAGTTCGACGTCAAGATCTCCATAACTACTCTGTACGATCATCTCGTCGCGATGAGGTGGAGTCGAAAAGTAGCTTCAAAGTCGGCTAGGGAGCGTCATGAAGGACTCCATCGGGCGTTCGGCGCACGCTACTAACAGGTATATAAACCGGACCTGATCATTTGTCTTGATGAAAGCGCTTGTAACGAGCGTAGTGGGGACCGAAAGTATGGCTGGAGCGAAGTCAATAGAGCTTGCGACGTACAGTACTCTGCCAGACGCTCAGAAAGGTGGGGCTTACTGCCGGCGATGGATGTGGACGGTTACGTGGACCATATCATATACCAGGGAGCCATCACGGCAGAATTGATGGAGGAGTTTATGGCGAATAGATTGCTCCCGCATTGCAATCCTTGGCCAGGAAAATGCTCAGGAATAGTCCTTCACAATGCGTCTATTTATAAGTTAGTAAAATTGGCCACATTGTGCGCAGAGGCAGGTGTCGTACTTGAGTTTCTACCGCCATACTCTCTGGACTTCAACCGCATTGAGCAGAGCTTCAAGGCCTTGAAAAGCTGGTTTCGGTGGCATTATGAGGACGTCTAGGCGTACGATCGATTCAAATACTTCTTGGAGACAGCCGTTCAATGCGTGTGTTTTGAGAGCTTAGCCAGAAGCTTTTTTAAGCTCTATGGGTGGGTGCCGTGAGCTGGTCTTCGTCGAGGAGGTGTCAACGTTGGTGTAGAAGAATAGGAAATCTAATACCTACCACCACAAAATAAATAGACTCTTTTGTGGCGCAAGGTGCAACTAGTGCCGCTATATCAATCATCGTTATTAGTTTTTGGGTTGCTGTTGTGGTGGAGACGTTATAGGCGGAGAGAGGTAGGGTGAATTGACAAAGTAAGTTAACTTGGTGATGGCCGCCGACGCATCGGATCTCAGAAGATGTCTCTAAAAATACTCATATGTGGTCCGTGCGCAGAGCCTTACAAACAAGCTCTCCACGCTCTGTGCTTCCTGACCTCTCCACCCTCTCTCTATTGCCTGTCACGCTGTTTCCGCTCATTATTTTACTGCTTAACGTAGCTGGCATCCTCTCTATCGCTCTCCGTGAGTCCATTATACCCAGCTCACCACCGGATCGCCATTTTTCGAAGTCGCAGAAGCAGCGGCACTAGCAGCTTGAAATCCTCTCTCCAAACACTGTACGGCATGCCTGTATCCAACAGATCCATAAGCATGTGGAAGTCAATCTGTGCGCCTTTTACGACGTCGGTAAGCACCTCCCGAGTGCCACCTTGCGCGCCCACATGGCCACGATATTGCTGCTCATCGGACAGTGATTCTCGAATCGATCCGGCTGGCCAGCCTTGCGTTGGACCCAGCATCCGTACGGGTAATTGTCACAGTACGTATCCTGGCATCTCCATTTATCACGGATGCCAATTTAGGGTCCCTCGGCGAGGGCATGGCCGGCGAGCACCTCTGGCAGCTCTTGCAACTGCCTCTGTGTTGCAGTAAGTCGAAACTGGCCCTGGGAGCTACTACGTTCATGGCTGACTGGGCTCATTTCTGGAGACTCGACCGCGAGCGAGACGTCAAAGTCGACGTAGATGACCTCAATATATGCCTCCTTGAGCGCCCACGCGTTCTCCATGACCTGGCCAAAGCCAACAGCGTCTCCTCGCTTAAGCGACTGCCGGAGCTTCTGCCGCTCAGCAGTGCCTTGCTTGTACGCGCAGCCAGTTACGTCCTTTATAATTCCCTTTGCCAGCGGAGAGTTCTCAATTGCCAGCTCCCTAGCGACGTTGTCAACAGAGGTCCAGAGTTGTCCTGGAAAGCATGAGTCAAATTAAAACTCTGTGTCGAACTTTTGCTTATAAAGATCTTTTTTCGAGCCCACAAAGGCTTGCCAGCGACAGGTAACGTACGGTTCAACTCCAGAAACCCCCCCCCCCCCATTTGACTGTGGCTCAATTTGCTCAATTTCTAACTCCTGCGCAGGCTTGCCGACGCTGCCGGCGACGGCGAGATCGTCCTTTGGAGCTCCGTCAAATACCCCCCATTTGACAGATCGCTAGAAATCGTTATTGGAGCAATTACTGCGCTGACTGTGGCTCGTAATCGACATAATCAAATGGATTCGAAACAAACAAGTTGACGTCGTCGTCGTCAGGTAGAGTTTCGTCCCATTTGGCAGATCTCTCATATCCGTGTTTTTCGGCAGTTTTCTCGGCGACTTGGCACCTCTGGCATGCCTCTGGGACGCCCCTTTTGGAGGATTTTTACCTACATCAAATGGCTAAGTAGCCCTACGCATACGTTGGCTACGTGCCTTTGCCTTTGGCATATTTATAGAGGGTGAATGTTCCTTTGAAGAAACTTTTGGCTAACAATTTGTATGGGAAATTGATTTCCTGGCGAACCAGGAGTCAGCTCCGCCATCTATGTGGGGCGGGATGGTCTTTCCGGAACGAGGCAGCTCAGATTCATAGCGACTCCATGCACACGGCGTTGTAACGGAGCCCATCACGGCCTGTGCCAACCATGAATCTCGACCAAGCTGGCAGGCTTTTCCGGAGCAATGCGCAATGGTTTGTAGGACACGTATGGATTTCGGCAGGTACCCTCCCACAGCAATGCAGTACCACCGCCCCATGACTGCCTTTGCCTGCGCATATAGATATGCCAGCTTGTATTATGTAGGCAAGTGGCCTGCGAATCCAAAAACACACGGACCACACACCCAAAAGCCCTGTCGAGCACAGCAACGAAACTTGCGTCAATGACCCACCGCGGACAAGCCGCCTGAACCCAAAGCCCGCGGACGGCACACTGCAGATCTTGGTGAAGACCCAAAGTGCACGACCACTCTCTCAATGGGGCTCTCAGACACACCATCGACAATGTCGAGCCCAAGATCGAGGACAAGGATGGCATCTCGCCAGGCCAGCAGCGTCTGATGTTCGCCGTCGCCGCAACGGAGGAGAGGCCGCTCCGTGAACTTTGATTTCCACTTGGCCCTACTCCAAAGACCGCACCATCGTCTCTGCCACCAATGAAGTACGCATCTTCGCCACGAGGCTTCGTCCGACAGTGGCGAGCCGTTTGCAAGGAAGAGGGAACGCGCCATTATATGATACTAGGATGCCGTCTTCTCGCGCCATCCACTCTTTGTGATATGGCTATGGCACAGTGCCTGAATTGTAAAGCAAAGCGGCATTCGGTTCCACGGTGGCGTGACAAATTGACGTATCGGATCGAACTACTTCACCAAGACCAGGCGTTTACATGAAGTACATGCTGCGCATTGCCGCGGGGCTTCTATACCAATTTTGGGTGGACAATCGGCCGAAGAGCGTTCGCCTGGAAGGCCCTGCGATACGGTGCCTTGGCACGCTACCGTGTCCGTGCACCCACTGCACGGATTCACCCAAGGCACGCCGAACACCCGATGCGTCAAAACTCCCTAGTCTTCAACACGCGATAACTCCACCAATATGGACCTAATTCAGGCTTCAATAGATGAAATCGAATCACGAGAATCGGGAGAAGAATTTTCGCAACAGAAGTTGCTACTAAATATGGTATTAATCGATCCACACTCTCGCAAAGACACTAAGGTATCACAGTAACTGTAACGAGCAGATCGCGAAGTTCGTTATGGTGTTGTGGCATATTGCGATAAGGCCTGATAGAGTCCTAGCGTGCCAAGCGAGTTGGCCGCGCATAACCCGCGCCGCACACCGGCTTCAGGAAGTCAAGTATTATTCACTCAATGCCATCAAATAATCCTTTCACTATCGATCCTACCGTGAAGGAAACACTGTTGCCTATAGCTAGACCTTACACTAACGCGTACAGCCACTGCAAATAATCAATAAGAGCTTAGCCCACAGGAAGAACAGGAGCTTATATAATATATTAAAGAACTTACACTGGGACGCCTACCTCCTACTAGGAAGATGACATAGAACTTTGCCTCTATGATAGCAAAGGAGTCAGTCAGCGAGGGCTGGGTTACCCACTTTATCAACCGACACAGCATTCATTTTATCTCATAATGGACAGTCAGTATGGAGAACAATCGCCACAAAGCTAATTTAGGGGATAAGTATCACCTCTATTTCAACTATCTGCATAGCAAGATTGATCAATATTAGATAGATCCTTGTCATACCTACAATATGGATGAGAAAGGCTTCCTGATCGGTATCCGTGGCAGATCAAAGAGGATATTCAGCAGACGAATGTGGGAGAAGAAGGAGGTTAGGGGATCACTCCAGGATGGCAATCGGGCGTGAATCACACCCCTGGCATGTATCTACGCTGATGAATCAGCTCTGCCACTAAGCCATATCTATCAGGCTACTAACAAGGGCATTCAATCAAGTTGGGTAGACGAAATCAGGGCATGAGAACGTCAAGTCTTATCACCTCATCCCGCTCTGGCTGGACCAACAATGATATCGGACTAGCCTGGCTTGAGCAGGTGCTCGATCGCTATACTAAGGAGAAGGCCCGACAATCCTATCGACTTCTAATCCTAGATGGCCACGGATCTCATATCACTATGGACTTTATCAACTACTGTGATCATAATAAGATCCTCCTTGCTATCCTGCCTCCTCATTCAACCCATACGCTTCAGCCACTTGATATGGCAATGTTCAAGCCCCTATTAACAGCCTACTCAGCAGAGCTATCAAAACACCTTCAAATGGGCCAGGGTCTAGCCTCTATCACCAAAGGGGACTTCTTCCCCTTATTTTAGAATGCTTAGAAGGCTCCCTTTAGGGAATTAACAATCCTTAGCTCTTTTCAGTTATCGAGTATATGACCACCTGATCCTCACCTAGTCCTTGATAGATTCACCAGATCTCAAGAATCAAGAGAGAGTTCCTCATCATCACTTAGTGATCATGACTAGCGAAAGGTGGATAGGCTCATACACTCTGCAGTCAAGGATTAGAGTAGTAGGGATACTTAGAAGCTTCGTCAATCACTCTACCACCTATCTGTTCAAAATGAGCTACTCCACCACGATATTAATGGGCTAAGGCAGGCGCTAGCGACAACGAAGAAATGTAAGAAGAAGGGTAAAGCTCTAGATCTATAACAACGTAATGGGTATCAAAGTGGGTTAGTGTTCTAGTCGCTTAGAAAGGTGAGGGAGGCACGTGTACGTCAATCTATTAGGGAGTAGGGAGAAAAGGAGTAGTAGCTTCAAAAAGTAAAGACAGTAGAGCTAAAGAAGGCAGCTAAGCTCTATAAGGAGAAGATCTAGTAGCAGAAGCGTGTTACGCGAGAGGTAGCTAAGGAGGCAAAGGAGAATGAGCAAGCTCAAAAGGCAACTAACTCAGCGCGCCAGCGCGTCCAACAGTCTGTAGTACGGTTGCTACGCTATTGCTCGGCGTTGATTTTGGACCAGACGTACCGTAGAGAGGTACCAATCGTAGTTGCAACCACAAGTAGGAGCTTCTTGAGCCGTAATACGGCTCTACGGTTGCCTATTTAGGAAGGAGGTGTGGGTTGACGTTGAGGTGTTGAGGCGCGTCGGATATGGCTGATCCGGGCTGCTTTGGGCGTAGGATGTACCCACATCGGGCAAATGTGGAGCTTCGACTCCTGACTTTTTCTCCGCCCTGATTCCTATACAGATATTAGTTTCTAAACCTCTATTCCCATCACGATCATGCTCAGCTCATGGAGGATTAGCTCACAGACGCGCGGGTCCCAGTTGACGCAGGAGACCTCGCAGCCGTCACCACCGACGCCCTATCACACCTCTGCCGCCCGCAGCGCTCTGGGATCCGCCAGCTCATCCCGTTCGTCGTCGCCGTCGATACGCATGTCCCACAAATATCCAGTCATACGCAACGCTGGCAAGGAGATAGATATTGATTGGGACAATCTTTGGCATGGCAAGACAAAGCTTATGGGCGCGCGGCTTGGTTACCGCATTACACATAAGTCGAAGTTGATAGGCGGCCAGAAAGCTGCATCTATCTGGCGATATGGCGCAGAGCTTTTGTACCTACAGAATGATGGTGTTAGCACAAAGGTGTTCTTTTTGTGTGAGAAATGTCACCAAAATCGAACGCCTACCTGCCTCTACGATATCAACAGCGGTACCTCATTTATTATAGAGCACCTGCGAAGGGTGCACAACGTTAACCTAGATAGAGGCTTAATGCCAATTGCTGGTAGCAAGTTAGATCCCTTTAAGAAAGCTGCAGGCGCTCACTTAGCTATTACCCACTCACCATGATAAGAAGTTGAGCTTTTGAAGTTGTACATTAACTGGGTGATTCTATATAATTTAAGCTTTGTAGTGGCGACGTTAGTAGGCAGTAGAGGGTTACTAACATGGAATTAGATTAACCTACTATGTAGGCTGCCTAGCAGTCGCTCTACGCTTTCTAGGTATATAAAGAAAGCGCTAGAGGAGAGTAAGGAGATAGTAAAGACACTACTACGTATAG